AATTTCGTATTCAGTAACTAGGACATCAAACTGAAGTCTAGCTATGCATTAGTGCGTAGCCCAATTTTTTTTTTACTAATTAAGGGTTTCATTAAACAGGTTTTATCTAGTTTAAAAATTTCAGAAGGGGTATCCATGGTCAGTTATTGTGAAAGGAGCCAAAAGGTGCAGAGTATGGTGCACCCATCATTGAACTTTTGGGGGGCAAGAACCAGACTATTAATATACCCATAGCCAGAGGACCAAGACAAGGGTGAGCCACTCCAGCATGGGGCAATTCCCCCCCCCTCTTTCAAAGAGTTTGCTCTCTCAACCATGATGTTTGTCATGCAACTAGGGGCACTTTTAAACCTTTTGAGGATTTTATCTGGATAATTAATCCATGCCAGTGGGTAGTTGGTGGAAGTGGTTAAAGCTTGGAGGCAATTTCAGTAACAATTTAGTGAGGAAATTTTCAATGGAGATCATGTCTTAGTATGATAGTCTAGGCCTTGAGCACGACAGCCTGGAAGTCGTGTAAAACATGTATTTCAACCCTAAATCTAGGTGCACAAGTCCAATCATTCATGCATAGGGTTATAAGAGACCATTAATTTAGATCTGAAGTTAGCAAGAATCGTTTTAGATTAAGCCCCCCCCCCCCCTCAAGACCCTTATGGGAGTTGCAGCCCTAAATTTGAGGGACGTTCTACAGCAATATTGTACCCCTCGAGTAAGAGGGGCCTTAATCACATACACTTCCCCCCCCCCCCCACTTCTGGTTAGTTGCCTCTGGCTTTCTTTCAGTTTAATGTCTGACTACAGAGGCTAACTTAAGCACTAAGTGGACCCTAACCACTTATGATGGTTGAGGAGTGGTTATGTTATGCAAATATAGTTCATTTTTAACTAATCATCCTTTGTCCATTTCCTGGGTTGGAATTTGAGCTAGCTCAAACCAGAGACCAATTGGCTGTGAAGTAGCATTTTTTTTTTTTTGGTAATTAAACCCAGTGAGGAGTTCTAATTAAATATATTTTAAAAGATTAAAACTAAGGCCTGTAGACCGCTTCATATGCTCTTGCACTCCCTTCTAGGTGTCCACCTTCAACCTCACTGCCAGCGTACAGAAGGAAGGTGGTATTCTGGCCCGTATGGTAGAATGGGAATGAGAAGGGTTTCCGTGCAGGTACAGTTTTCACCTGGGTAGAAAGGAAAGTGGGGTATTTAAGATTCCATTAAATAGTTAGCAACAGTTTGAGATCAAGTATTCCAATTGTAGAATACGGGTTAAGAATCAAGCCTTCTTACCATCCTTTCGTGCATAAACTGCATTCCCTTCAAGACGTACACATGAACACCATGCTCTGTCTGGACGAAGAGACCCATTTCATACTTGGACACTTCTCCCAAGTTACTTGCCAAAGCACCAGGCACCTTCAAGGTCTGCAAGAGATGAGCATGTTAAGTTGCCAGTACACCACAGTTTATACCATACAAACTGGTTAAGCTTACTACTTACCTGCATTTTTTCCATCTCCACAGAACCAGATTTATCATTGATAGTGAAGATGTCAACACTCCCGGCGGCAATAGGGGAGGTACGATGAGTTACTGCTACATAAGCTTCATTCTTGCCAGCCAGGGCATCAAGGTGTGAAGCCTTTTGTAGGTCATGGTTGAACTCCTAAGGGGTAGGCAGAAAATTAGTTTCCTCACCTAGTACAAGTAAGAAATATTCAGACAAAGCCATAGTGGCTAATGGCCATGGCCAAGACTAAGCTTACCAGAGCCATAGTGTTGACATCATATTTGAAGAGCTTCAAATTTGAGGAAGAGCTGAAGGAGTCATCCTCTAGCACAACTAGGTAAGTCTTTCCCAAGGTAAATGCAGCTGCCTGAAATGTTAAGAAGTCCTTACCCTCTGCATCTGGGAGACCTCCATCTCCTACATATTCAAAGCTACCATTCCTTACCTCAACTGCACGACTAGTTCCCAGGTAGTTCAGTAGCTGGTAGCCCATCTGTGGAGTTCCACAGATCACTGCAGAGGAGGTTTCATGATCAATCACTGCCAAGCAGTCCTTACCATTACTCAGGTGGAATGGCTGTAGGGGAGAAGGGGATAAGAGCCGGTTAAAACCTCGCCTTGAATGTATGCAAACTTATCATCAAAGCAACCCATTTTAATCAGGGCCTACCACTAGGTCTCTGCAGGATATGGTACTGAAGGAAACCACAGTCTCGACTGCACTACTTAGGAAGAAGATGTGGCCATACGAGGTTCCCTGGCCCAGCTCATCTGAAATCTATACAAGATTTTAGATTTTTTTGTATAGTCCGTTACTATTCAAGGTAGAGTGGGGGCTTCAGTAATCCCATACCTGTTGATAGGTTGGTGCAGCTGTATATGGGAAAGTTACAAGCGAGTTGCCACATACAGCCAAGTGGCTATTTCCCAAGCCTGCAGCTACCGTTGCTTTAGGAACAGCAACAGTGCCTGAAACCAAAGCCATTTAATGTAGAGGCACAGTCTACACTTGACCTAGACTTTAGAAGGTAACAGTTTAAAAGTATAGAAGACTACACACTTGTTGGTGGGAAAGCTGTCATCATATCCAAGTGTTCCTTTTCCTCACAGAGGTCCTTTAGTTCATCAGCCAAGGACTTCCTACCAATCTCTGGCCCATAAATCTGGAGACTTGCATCATCCCAGTTCAGGCCAACAAAGGCATCAATGGAATGGTGTCCCAAGGGATTCGACAGCCTATGGAAAGGTAAGTAGCAACCTTTAAGAATCTTGTGCAACAAAAACAAAGAATTTAACAAAGGTATTAAAGCCCTACTTACGTAATTGGCTGTAGCTTGTACAGTTTTTCCTGGAACTTGGTTTCGTAGAAATACCATAGGTCAGTTGGTCGTTCTGTGGATAGTGGTACAATTAAAATGGGCCTATTCTACACCCATGAAGACTAAATACTAGAGTAAATTGTTTGTGGACACCTACCATCAAGAACCATGTTGGAGTGCTCTGAAGCCGTGATTGCTTCTTCTAGGAGATCTCCCATGTTGTTAAGGGTGTGTTTACCATTAAGTACCAAGATAAGATCTGTCAAGTTGTAACCATTTACAAGGTGATTTTCAAGAGTTAAGCTTGAAAAGGTTGGAGAGGCTGAGAAGGTTACTTCTGCTGTAATAGTATCCTTGTTACCATCAACACGAACCTGCAGGAGGGGTGGAGTTGTGCATGAAGGAAACTAGAGCATTAATTATCAGATACCAAAACATTTAAGAGTAAATATACTAACCGTATCATCATACAGCTTTTCAAGACTAATAGAGTTGAACTTCTTGTCCTGGATCTCTAGGTTCTGTTCAACAAATACCACCTTGTCTTGCCCAGGTACAGATACCGTGACCAGGCCAGCTACACTTTGTGCTCCAGTGGTCAGTAGGATAGTATTACTATCTACCTGTACACCGTCAACAGTGCCGCCAACTCTGACAGAAAGATTCCATTGTTAACTCTTTCTGTAATACCCGACTAGTTGACACTAGGCTTCAGCCACACCTTGCTAGTATACTTACTCTAGGGTCTTCAAGGTCAAGCCTTTGAAGGTGGTAATTCCACTAATAGGCTTAGTAGTGCCACTAGTGTTATGTAGCACAGCAGACTCTTCAAATGCAGATACATCAACACCCTGTAATTGAGATTCATTTTAGACAAAGCAAGCCTTTGTAAGTTGACAAGACTTTGTGCAATTTATACTACAAATCATACCTGCACAGTGCTACCACTGCTCATGGATAGGTCTCCCCATATGGTCAGCTTTTGGTTGAAAGTCTTTTCAGCAGTTATTTCTGCACTCTTACCATACTGCACTAAATTGGTTGCTACATCCAAGCCATTGAGGGTTCCAGCAAGAGCCACAGATCCTAAGTGTTAG